AAAATCGATACAGGGCTTTAGAATATCGATACAGTATCGGGAAATGAAATATCGCGATATTTCAGTGTATCGATATTTTCTTACACCCCTATAAGTTACATGTTGAATTTCTCTGTAATCTTTGTATTTTTTTTATAAATGAAAACAGTTAGGTGAGAACTCTGCACCGTCTCTGCTTGCTAAATATTTGAGTTCCTGCTGTTCTTGTGAATATTGAAGCTGACTGAGTAGGATTGTGTTTGAAGTTCTGCTCCACAGGTTTTAAATGTTTGAACCTGAACGGTTTGTGCAGGATGGTATTGAACCCATGTGGGAGGACGAGAGGAACAAGCGTGGTGGACGTTGGCTCATCACACTAACCAAACAGCAGAGGAGACTAGACCTGGACCGCTTCTGGCTGGAAACTGTACGTTCCACTTAGCCTGTCCCAGTACTCCAACCCCGTGCACTATTAATCATTTCTGCCCCTCTTTCCCTAAAGGAGTACATTTATTACTGGCTGGCAGCCATAATTAGAGACACTACTCTGTCATCACACTTGTTGCCTGCAGAAGTGGGTGATTACATCCTGTTGTAGCTCTAAGCCACAGATCTGATAGGTTTTATTGTTGTTGCCATTCTGTTTTATTTATATCACACAATATACTATTGCCTTGACTGTGAGTTGAGCTAATGGTGAAGAATCACAGCCCTGTCAAATAAAAGTAATGGAAAATATTTTGTTGGGTCGCTGCTGAGCCTCACAGTTTTGTGCTGAGCTTTCTTGCTGCTCGTTGCTGTGATGCTCAGACGTTTGCTAAGCTAGCAGGGCCAAATCAAATCTGTTTTATTTTTTCTGAATTCCACATTTTTATTCTAACTGTATTTATTAACCTAAAAAGTGCATAATTATAAAGTGATAATTTGACAAATGAGTGATCACAGAATTCTTAAAGAGATCCCCGATTAGTTGTAACATTAGACTTTACACACAAAGCATTCTGGGTAAATGATGACGTCGACAGGTCCTCGGTGCGAGGCTGCTAGCGAGCTATATCCACCCTGAAGGTTAATCTTGGACAATATCTGATGATCGACTCTTTTAAATGAAACCATATCATGCTAAATGCACTTTTTTTGCATTTTTAAACTATTTTTTGTGCAGTTACAGTGTCTAGGAG